TCGTGGCCCGGGCACAAGGGGTTCGAACTATGGTTTTTCCATGTATGTTTGCATGTTAATTTGATGTATTTACAGTTATTAAATGGATTCATGAATGATTAAGTTGAGTATGTTGTATGAATATTGAGATTGTTTTTTTTTTTCATCTTGCGGTATGAGCTTTAATGCTATACATTAATGTTTATGCAAATTGAAATTTTATTGAATTATTATGATCAAGTGTATGATGTGTACGAGATATTATGATATATGATGAGGATGAAGAATGAAGATGAAATTATCATATAATTTTTATATAATAAGGAATTGATAGTGCAAGTCATGCAATATGTTGTAGAGATGTACAATGTGAATCTTTAAATATTGTATTCATTTTAATTGTGCTTTTTAGTAAGAGATTTGTAAGGGACCTATTAGGGATGAATTTTATTATTCAAATGTGTATAAATTATGTTTGTAGGCTGGAATATATGTATTATGGTTTTGTATCGAGATATTCATGCATTTAAACCCTTGAGTTTTTATACAATGGAAATTGTTTTTAAAAGATTGCATTTCTAGCCCATTGATCTTTTACCACCAACAAACAGTTTCAGGCCGGCTACCAGACACCCCTGACTAGGCGCAGTTGTGACCAGGGTTCACACCCCAAAGAGGACACCTCGCCAAAAGAGGTACCCTGCTTGTCAAAGCTAACCTTGTATAGCAGCACACACGCCCACCAAGGTTTCCTTGGCTGTCTGTCCAAAACATTGTCTTAGATGTGGATCTCCATCAGAAGATGTAGCCTCAGAAGTGGATCTCCACTAGAAGGTTCAAACAAAAAATCTGACTGATTGGGAAGAAATCTTGAGCAAGGCCCCCGACTGCCAGACAAGCCCAAATTCTGACTGACGCTATAATCCCTTAAGCTAGGCCCCTAGCTGTTGAAACTAAAAATATGAGTTGCTGAAGTGGATTTACAAGCCCTTAAGCAAGGCTCCCACTAGCAGCTCAAAGTCCCTACTACCCCAAAGCCTCAACGGATATGGGTCTACAAGCCCTTAAGCAAGGCCTTGGTCACCTCTCTGGGAAGCAGCTTCACATGATTTCCCCTTTGACGATCGTGTGATCCGGTGACTAGGAATAAAAAGAAAGCCGTAGGATCAGTTTTGATTCTGAATATTGTCCTTCTCGCTTCTCTCGAAGAACAGCATTTGGCGGGGCAAGTTGTTGAAGGGTATTTTCAGATACTTGTCATCCTTGATACAAATAAGGAGAGAGAAATTTGCGACCTAACCCCACAGGTGCCAAAATGCTTGTGGACTACGAAAGTAGTAGGTAAATAAGCCCCAATTCAGAGAATAATTTTTTATAATCCCAGAATGGCCTGAAAGTGATTAAAAATGTGGCTAAGGGTCTCTTAAGGATACCTACTAAGTTTCGTCACGATCTGACAAAATTAAGGCGGATCAGACGCCAAAACAGTTTTCAAAATTCTGCCTCTAACGCTAAAAAAAAACCTTGTAACTACAGCCCTATCATCGGAGCTTCAAATAACCACCAGACCACTGCCATTTAATTCAGAACATATGAAAACCCCTGGGGACTAAGTTTCGGGTCATTCGGTCGCTTCTGAACCAATCTGTAGCCAACTTATCCAAAATTGTGTACGTTGCTCACTATTCTTTTGCACCCTCAGCGAACCAATTTCCATATATGGAAACAGTGTTTTTCAATTTCGGGCTGAACTTTCCATGGTCATATCTCCTTCACCTCGAGTCGGAATGAACCCAAATTTTGGGAGGATGTTCTTCTCGTCAGACCAAACAATTTGAAATGTGGCACGGCCGATGGCATGCCCTGAGCCAAGAGAAATCCTAAAGAGAAGATCGCCATGAAAACCCAAAAGTTGCAGGATTTTTCAAGAGAGAGGTCCCTTCTATTGAACAGCCACATCACGACACCTGCAATCGAATCGGCATGAAATCAAGCTCATTACAACCATAAGGCCAGGGGCTTCATCCAGACCAAACCTTATGTGTAATGAATGCTCAGATGGACAGTATTTCAAGGACAAAGAGAGGCAACTTCTGGCCACTGGAATCCCATTTCCGGCCAAAATTTCTCAATTGAGAAAGTGATCATCCGAGCATCAAGTCAAGTCATTCTTGTTGCAAAACGATCATGACGACTTACTCGTCAATCTACAGCAAAGAAATCGAGCAAAACAATCAAGAAAAGAGCAAGATCTTGAATCTAAGATCACATGTTTTCCACAATCTTGCCGTCTCGAGTTAGCAGCTCAAACCTCAATCAATGGCTCAAGATCTATATCAGAACACCTCACCGAGTTTAACAAGATTCCAATGTTATTTTGGTTGGCAGGACGTTGGAAAAACCCCATACGAGCCACCAAAAATCACAAGAAGCTTCATGGCCATTTTTGGACTAATCTGGAATTTCTAAAATTGTGGGTAAGGAGCAAAGTCGTCATTTTTCCCCTAATTTTGATATAAGTTTTAATTCATTGTAGTCCCATTTTTCATCAATTAGGTAAATTTTGGGGCATCCACCCATGTTTTGGATGACCCCCTATATATACACGTCGTGTAATAGCCTGAGGCCCCTTCTTTTGGGCTGAATAAAAAAATCTTTGGCCACTGTTCATTACACTTGCTCTCACCCTTAGGGCCTGTTTGATAACTAGAAGCAATAACATGAACTGGAAATTGGAAGTTACTGAAGAACTATAAATTAGTAGTTCCTGAAGAAGTTTGTGGTTTCTGTGTTTGATAACATCCCTAGGAAGTTAAGAAGTTCCTGGTTTCTGTGTTTGACAACCTCCTAGGAAGTTAAGAAGTTCCTAGTTTCTATATTTGATAACCTCCCTAGGAAGTTAAAGAAAAATTAGGTATTTGTATTGGATTAAGTAATAGGCAAGATGTAAATGTTAAAATTGAGACATATTGTCCCTTAAAATGTTATCTATTAAGGCATTTGTGATGCATGTCAAGCAACATTCACAATTCATGCATCCATATATAACCATGTACAAAACCAGCCCATTCAACAATATCCTATATTAGTTTAACACAAATATACTACAAGATAATAAAGGGGCCAAATAACTTCTAGCGACTTAGGTAGGACTCCCACAACTGCATCGTCATGGCATCTCGCATACTAACACCATCATCATGATCACCTTGCCCTTGAGTCAATTGCGTGAAACCATCATGTCCGTCAATTACTGGTTCACTCTCAACCCTCTTTTAAAAATGCAGCTCTCTTCTACTATCAGCTCCTCGTGTCATCATGATGTAGTTGTGCAATATTGCACATGCAACAACTACATCAACCTGTGTTCGTAAAGGATACTGCATTTGATTCCTGAGTACAGGAAATCTGGCCTTCTAAAGCCCAAATGTCCTCTGCACTACATTTCTAAGCGTCGAATGCCACTTGTTGAATAACTCTTTGTGATTTTGAGGAGCTCATGGGCCTGATGTAAATTCGTTTAGATGGTAACGGACACTTCGATATAGTCCTATGAAATCACGCATAGTAGGATAGCCACCATCTACAAGGTAGTATTTTCCTATTCTATGTTTGTACAATGAGTATATTATAAAGCCTGATATTACCCTACCAAATATTGTACAAACCAAAGTAACGAAAAATAATGTAATGGAGTTACCCACAGGCACTGCAAGCCTACTGCGTCCATTACTAATTGCATCATATAAGACTTTAGAATCTGATGCGGATCCTTCCCAACCTGCAAGTACATAATGGAAGAGCATGTCGAACCAATCACAATCATAACATTCTGGCTTAGAAAACCTTTTCTGTTTCGAAAACGATTATGCAATCGAGTACGAACTTGAGCAGGGATATGAGTCTCATCAATAGCTCCAACACAATCCTATTAAGACAAACAAATCACCATTACTTATATATTAGTATGATGTGGATGTGAGAAGAACAATATGGAATATCTAACACTCACATACCTTGAACTATGGGTAAAAGCGTAGTGTATCTATCACCAGCAAAGTGGGCAAGTGTTTTATTGCTTCGTGGTTGTAGGAACTAGGGTTCCAATTCTAAGATTACTTTTAAAGCTTTATTGAAGAAGTAACTTATGGTTTGCCCTGAATGTTGGAACCATTCCTAAACCACCCTATTCTGCTGATTCTGTGTGATAGTGCTTAAAAATATGGCTACTTTTTCATCAATTGCCAAATATATAGTATAAGTAATGTTTGTCCTCTCCTTTAACAAATTACATAAACTGATAAAAGCAATTTTTTCCATGCGTAACTTGTCGAAGCACTTATGAGGGTGCCCTGGCAGCAAGTATTGGACATAATTGGCCCCAATAAAAATTGAAGTATGAACATGCCCCCTCCTCATTTGGGTAGTGCTATACCAATATGTGCAACACATAACATTCCCACCAACCGACACCGTCGGGAATCCATAATTACAAATGAAAGAAACCATCCACAACAATAAAGCAAACGATGAAGCAATATTTGACATTAAAATGAAAAAAGCTATCCATATACAAATGAAAGAAGCCATCTCTTTCATCATCCATAAAGCAAACCATCATGCAAATGAAAGAAACCATAATCCATACAGCAAACCATGAAGCAATCTTTGACATTAAAATGAAAGAAGTCATCCACATACAAATGAAAGAAGCTATCTCTTTCATCATCCATAAAGCAAACTATCATATAAATGAAAGAAACCATAATCCATAAAGCAAACCATGAAGCAATCTTTGACATTAAAATGAAAGAAGTCATCACATACAAATGAAAGAAGCCATCCCTTTCATCATCCATAAAGCAAAACTTCATGCAAATGAAATAAACCATAATCCATAAAGCAAACCATGAAGCAATCTTTGACATTAAAATGAAAGAAGTTATCTACATACAAATGAAAGAAACTATCTCTTTCACCATCCATAAAGCAAACCATCATACAAATGAAAGAAGTCATCATCTATAAAGCAAACCATGAAGCAATATTTGACATTAAAATGACATAAGCCATCCACATACAATTGAAAGAAGCAGTCTTTGATGTTAAAATTAAACATAGTCAATCAGAACTCTATTGGAGGTGTTTCATCTCTTCATCTAAGTAAGTCTTTTGTATCCTTGGATCCTCCAAGTTTTGTAACATCTCCGCCTTTATAGAATCTTTGAAGTCCTTGACGCTGTTAAAAGGACAGCATCACCTACTTCACCTGCTTTTCACATGCCTTCAGCAATTTTACAAGCATCTCTCCTAGCCTTGGACGGACCATCCACCACAGGAGTACTGTTGTTACCTGTAGTGTCACATGCCAGCATCTCAATGCTATGAGCCATCTTTGTCATGGCTAAAGTCATGGACTCAAAGTGGGCGATTTGCTTTGATCGGCGTTGTGCTCCTATCAGAGTATGGGACCGTCGTCTTTTTTATCCAGATAATACTAGCTCATCAGATGATGATGAGTTAGATTCATCCTAGACTTCTAATGGGGGGTTGTCAAAGAATGCATGGTTGGGCCTTTCTCGCTCAATTCTGATGCCACTGCCAATAGATTTTTACGTCCCATCTGTCGTTTCACCCTCATAGATTTTACTTAGCAGCGAATACTTGGGCAAAGTCTTGTTTTGGTATTTGTTTGTCCATTCATTCTCCTGCATATCAAAGACCATAAATTATAATTATCGATAATCGTATTGAAACATAGTCAACATTTTAAAAGTCTATGCAAAGGAGTAATTACATACCGTTAGGAAGTCATTCCAAACAGCAACCCCGGTGGTTACTATCCTCCTACTTCCATCCCATCTGAAATCAGAGACATTCTTAAGTTTTTTTATATCATTGTACATGTTCCTAAAGAACTTATGTTTGCTTTTCAACCTAGTTACATTGTTTCTTGACCTATATTTAATTGTCATGGCGTCTACCATATGTTTCCATGCACCTTTTCTAACCCCCCTGCCCCGTACCCCTAGTCTCCTTCTCCATTAGTTCAATAAAGTAATCATCTTCTGATTGTGTCCATTGGGAGCTTCTCTTGCCTCCCATATTCTCATTCGTCGCGCTTGATGATGTGTATGGGTACATCCTATTGAACACCACACATCCATTGCAAAGCAATTTCAAAAAACAAATAGCAAAGAAATTTCAATAAATACTTGGAACAAATGAAACCATTGAGTGAAGAAAATGAAAATATTGGTAATTCATGCATTTCTTCTTTGCATAAAAAGAAATAAACAAACCCACATCATAGTTGTGTATCATAGAAAAAATATATCAGATTTCATGAACCCACATCATAGCTGTATATCAAAGCAATTTGAAAAAAAAAATAACAAAGCAATTTCAATAAATACTTAGAACAAATGAAACCATTGAGTGAAGAAAATGAAAATGTGGGTAATTCATGCATTTCTTGTTTGCATAAAAAGAAATAAACAAACCTACAACATAGCTGTATATCATAGAAAAAATATATCAAATTTCATGAACCCACGCCATAGTTGTATATCAAAGCAATTTCAAAAAAAAATTAGCAAAGCAATTGCAATAAAATACTTGGAACAAATGAAACTATTGAGTGAAGAAAATGAAAATGTTGGTAATTCATGCATTTCTTGTTTGTATGAGTCACACTTGGTATCAAGCTGAGTCATCTTGGTATATGAACCTATAAGGTTTTATAAGATTCCATGTGCCTAAAAAAATTAACATAAAAGACCCATACTTGGCCAAGACCACCCAATCCAAATCAACTTCGTCAAGTTCAGAGTGAACTCAGACGATTTTTAACCCATTCTCTAGAATCTATACTAGCAGAGACATGAAAATTGGACCAAAACCTTAACAAACTCATAATATCAACATCAAAGGAAAATGAAAATCCAATGACGGGCAGGAAGCAAATAAAAAAAAACCAATACAACGTTCAACGAAGTCCATTACATGTTATCCACATTCAACCTCAACCCAATAGTGACAATTAAAACCACTTAAGAGATCTTGCAGGGATATAGATTGACATTAAATTTTGCATTATGAAGCACTCGCGAAAACTTATCCTCAATTTCACACTTTCAGTGTTGGACTCACGTTCATGAAATTTTGGGGATGACGAAATTCTTTAAACCAAATCAAACAAAAATACCTATAAATAGTTGCATGTAGAAATATTGATATGCACAAGGAAAAAGACACTATTCAATAAAATAAAAAAGGTTGTTGCTTGAGGGCAAAATTAGCTATTGAAAAATTATCCCAATATGAGAAATTATCTACTACTGAAAAAACAAAATTTACATGTAAATTTGAATCGAATGTTTTTAATTGAAAAAGCCCCAAAAAAAAACCCAATACGTGAAAAAGCCCCAAAAATCCCCAACAGAATCGCCAAAAAACCCCAACATAAAAAGCCCCAAAATAATAGTTACATATCAATATGGGAAAAATCCCCAAACAGAATCCCTGTGATAAACAGCCTAAATGCAAAGTTCAAGAAACACAGAGAGAGTGACACTCCTCTGTGATCTATAGATACCCAAAAAACCCGAGAAAATGAAAAAAAATAGATAAACAAGGGAGAAACAAGGGTTTTTATAGGATAGAATTGGGGTTCTAAGAGGTAGAATAAAGACAGAGATTAATAGCAAGGACAATAACACAGAGCTGATGAGCTCAAGAACAAATACAGAGATTTAACAAACATATACATCAATAACACAGAAAGAATAAAGTCAATACCATACCTTAATCAATAGCAAGAATCAGAGCTCAATGACAGCTGAGTAGACTCTAGCGAGGGCTGCATATGAAGAGAAGAGCCTGCCTGAGATAATGGCGTGCTGCGAACAGAGAGTTGGCTGAGGGCTGAGCGCGAAGAGAGGGATCGTGCTGCGAATAGGGCACTGGCTCAGGGCTGAACTCGAGGAGAGGGGTCATGCTGCAAAGAGAGGGTGCTCAATGGCGAAGATGGAGACATGGGAAGAGAGGGTGCTCAATGGCTATGGGAAGAAGGGACGAAGAGGGCTAGGGTTATCGGGGGTTGCATGAAGAAGTTTGGGGAGGTAAGTCCGAAACCAACTTCCTATTTTAAGCTTTGGATTTTTTTACACGCGAGAGTACGAACATAAACAGTATAGTAGAGTTCCCATTTAAAGTCTTCTTTTTCCATCAAACACGATAACTTGTACAGTAATGGGGAAGTTCTTTCTTCCGCTTCTAACTTATGTTATCAAACACACCCTTAGAGAGGAGGAGAGAGAAAACTTTTCCGTTTGAGCCACTTTGGGACTGTAATTGTCGTACCCAACCAAAAGCCAATTCAGGTAATTTCTCTCTCCTCCATCTAACTCTTCTTTCTCTATATTCTTTTTCTTTTCCCTCTTCTGACTTCTCTCTTTCGCGAGCGGCAATTTGAGCCCTTTCTCAAAACGGTGGGATCAATCGTCTCCCTTTCTTTTTTTCTCTCTCCTCTTCTTTTTCCATCTCCTCTCTTTTTTCACTCTCTTTTTCTCTCTCTCCTCAGCCATTGTCTCCATCACTCCTCTCCTTACCCCTTTCTCTCACCTGCACCAGGCGGCGACCTAAGTTGCCACCCCACTCTCGTCCTTCCTCACCTTCTCTCCCTCTCTCTCTCCTTGCATCCAAATGGCGGCTTAAGCCGCCACTCCCCTACATTTCCTCTTTCACCTTCCCTTCCTCTCTTTCCTTGCATCTAATGGGCGGCTTAAGCCGCCACTCCTTCACCCGACGGCTTAAGCCGCCACTCCCCTTCTCACCCTTCGTTCACCTCCCACTCGCTCTCTAAAACCCCAATAACGAGCCCTCTCTCTCTCTTCTTTTGATTTACCCCTTTGTATTTTATTTTATTTTTTTTACCTCTTTTATTTTATTTCACTTTACTTCATTTTATTTTATTTCTTTTACCTCTTTTATTTCATTTCACTTTACCTCATTCTATTTTATTTTATTTCTTTTACTTGTTTTATTTTATTTTACTTTACTTCATTTAATTTTGTTTCTTTTATTTCTTTTATTGTATTTTACTTTACTTCATTTTATTTTATTTCTTTTACCTCTTTATTTTACTTTACTTTACTTTATTTTATTTTATTTCTCTTACTTATTTTATTTTATTTTATTTTTCTTCATCCTTCTTTCTTTTCTTTTTTTGGTGAGTACTTCATCCTATTTTTATTTTATTTATTTTACTTCTTTTATTTTATTTTATTTTATTTTCCTTCATTCTATTTTATCTTATTTCTTTTCCCTCTTTTATTCTATTTTATTTTACTTCATTTTATATGGTTTTATTTTAATTCCATTTTCCTCTATCTTACCCCTTCCACTTTATTTCATTTTATTTTATTTTATTTCATCCCCTTCACTTCATTTTCATTTCATTCCATTTCATTTTATTTTATTTTCTACAAGTCAGGGTCTTCAGACCCGCTTGTTTGGACATCTTATGTGTGTACGTGTGTTCAGGAACGCAGAGAACGAGTCAGGGGAGTTGAAGCTGAACCGGCCTCAAGCCTAGGGGGCTTTCTTTGTGATCTAAAAGGGCACCGAGGCAAGCAGCTCGAGCGTATCATGGACCCACGTGAGGTAAGTCCCATCTCACGACCATAATTCCTCTCTCACCAGTTGGTACCCTGCCCACGTCCTCTTCACGCGGTTTCCGAGAGAGCAATCTCCGGTCTCAAGCTCATCATGATCTTGTGATCGGCCCCAAGGTCATCCAGATTTGGGGGCAAGATCGAGGCACCTAACCACACACAAAAAGCACTTCTCATGTAACCGTCTTTCTAAGATTTCTCTTCGTTAGGTCATCGACTTCGAGCGTGGCATATGTCAAAATATTCCTCTTGATGAGGAGACCAATATACTAAAATTTAAGCTCTATCCTCCTTGTGGTCGATGAGATATGAGCATTACTAGATTATCCCATTTTTGGGTGAGTGCATCATTTTGTTTACTATTTTTGGTAACTGATTTTGTTTCCCATATCTGAAAAGTAAACAACATGTTTGAGCTGAAATTTGCAAGTTAATGGTTTTTGGGCCTTCTGAAGCCGTTAGCAGTGGTCGGGTGATCATCTGAGATCACCCTCATGGAGTTTTAGCTATGATGTAGCTTGTATACGTTAGAGCATAGCACCTCAAATTGAATCCCTACCTAATCCCTCGTGCCTTTGTCTGATTGAGGCGAAACTTGGGGAAGGACTTTGGGATGTCAAAGCCCACACTTGCACACCTTTTGGGACCAAAATTAGGTTTATTCCATGAGGGTGGCGTATTTGGTACCTATGTGGCATGGTTGCAATCGCCTCCTCTTTTATGCGCATGGGAAAGAAGTGCGTCAAAAATACAAGACAACAGCCCAAACCAAGATATTTTCTTCCTTTCTCTCTCTAAGAAAGTCTCTTGATGTTGTAAGAGAGAATAGATCCTTCATAGTCTCATACTAGTCCATTAATGGTGATCAAAAGCTCAAAACTCAAGCCATGGATGATCTAGTCTTCAAGCTTTGAATAATTGAGTAAGGTGTTTCAATTTTCATGTATATTGTTTTTTTTTTTTTTTTTTGTATATAGTCAATTTTTGTATATAGTCAATTTCAACAACATTCCTTTCCCTTTTGATGATTAGATCTTAGCCTTCTTGATTCATTATAAAACTCAATTGATTCATGTTGTTTAAGGCTTCATCCATGCACAACTTGTGGTAGTTTTTCATGAACTTTCCCTTTTGATTTTTCTAATATTTTTTGTTGATATTTCTTTGAGTTTTTAAATTTATATCAGTCACTAATATCACATAATAGTCATCTTAAATTGTTGATTTTATATAGAGAGACTATGTCGAACTTTCATAACCCCCTTTGTGAAGAAATTTGAGCCAGCTTGTGTGTTTTGAAGTGCAAGATCTCTCCCATGAAATTCTCACTTGTTTAGATCTTTGGATCTCTGCAAATCCTTTACATTTGAAGATGATGAAATTGCCTAAATTTGTAAGATGCCATCATGTGGCACTCATTGGCAAATAGCTAGGACCCAAGGCCATAAATCGGGTAGCCAAGAGCTCCGATTGGCTTTAAATGGTCTTAATCCAATTTACACTTGACCATATATATGTTTCTGTAATAGAGATCATGTTGTACTAAGTTTTATGAGTTAATTGATATATTATTTAGCTATATAAGTTTGAATGGTGCTGATTTTTTAAATGTATACTATACATATGTAGTTTGATTATCTTCTTTTGTAACTTATTTTATTCATGTGCAAGGGATCACACTTGAGTTGAATCCTCTCAATTGAGTGTATTTAGAAGTCAATAGCTCACTGATATCACAGTGACCTTGCTGTAATTTGTTTTTTCAAATTGTAATTGCAAGTGTATTATAATATTTTCAATTTTTATTGGAATGTTTTCAACTACATTGTAGTCCAATTCCAATATATTAGTTTTTATACACTCACATCCGTCCAATTCCAATATATTAGTTTTTATACACTCGCATCCTCACCGCTCTCCATAGTTTAGTATCAAAAAATTGGCACATATTTTTCACCATGCATCTTCGTCTTTTCTCCTCTCTCTTGCTGAATTAAATCAGTCCCCTAATTGGTATTAAAGTGCGCATTGGAAGTTGCTTTATGCTTCTCGATTATTGAGTGCAATACTCTTCAAATCCTTATGCTATCAAAGTGGAAATCAGGTATGGGGTATGACAAGTCTTGAGGAGATAATCCTAGGCAAATTGCATGAATTTTGTCTTCTCATGACTTATGTCCCTTAGGGACGCATTTTTGGAAGTGTTTGTATAATTGAGATAGCATTCTGAGTCATTGTATGTGTAGAAATATTTGATAAAATTTTACAAGAAATTGTATAAGGTTGAATTTTTCAAGCATACACATTGTCTTGTATGTACGCAAGCTCAAGGTGTCAAAATGAAGCGAAATGATTATGGAAATGTAATAAAGAGATGTTTTTTATATTTGTTTTTCTTCTTGTAGTTGAGTTGGAAGGCTAGTTTTATCAGTGATAATTGTATATACTTTTGAAGAAAAGTATATGTAATTGAGGTGTATACTTGTCTCTTTACGAAAATTTTAAGAGTTGTACCTAAGAGACTGGTATCTATACCGACATATGATGTCAGGACCTTATCATCTTTCATTTATGATGCTTGAAGTATGGCTTTCAAATATTCTAGGACAGTTTGATTTTAGGGCACATTTGGTTTATGCATAATTATTTTGTCAGGAAAAATATTTATATACGTAAACACTTTGCTTGAAAACTTTGAGAAACTTTCTTTTCACCATGTTTTTTAACACGTTTAAAAAACACTATATGATGAATTACATATGTTTAGTAACTTGTTGGGTATTTAAATATGGACACGATTTTTATGCGGCCAGCTTGCATATTGTAGAAATTCAAGCTTGGCAATAAATATATTTTTTAAATATAATTTGATCTTAATTTTTAGAGAATATATAATTTTTAACATGAAGATCATGAATATGAAAAAAATTAAAATTCAAAACTATAAATAATAATTATATTTAAAAAAACATTTGGACTGTTAGTTACAATTGCTTTTAGATAGACCACCTATTTGCATCCACCTTTAAGATGGATGTTTTATACCTCTAGACCTCATATTGTAGAAATGCGGTCCATCCCGCACGAAACAATTGTCTTCTAAATATATTTTGTAAATATATTAAATATATACACAAATATTATTAATTAAATTCTATTTAAATATTATTTAATATTAAATATAATACCTTAAATGATCTATATTGTATTGTAAGTATCTATTACATATATAAAATACATTAAATAATAAAATATATTATATATTATATAATAGAATATATGTTAAATAAAATATATATTTATATATTATATAATAGAATATATATTAAATAAAATATCTATTATATAAATATTATTTTTATATTAAATATAAAATATTATATAATATATATTGTATTGTAAATAGGAAGCGGTTAGCATGCGGCCAAACAAGCACATGTAGAAATGCAAGCTTCTTACTAAATATATTTTTTTAATATAATTTGATCCTAATTTTTAGATAATATATGATCTTTAACATGGAGATCATGAATACAAATAAATAAATAAATTTTGAACACTAGAAATAATAATTATATTAAGAAAATATTTGGATCGTTAGTTACAATTGTTTTTAGATCGACCACCTATTTGCATCCATCTTTAAGATGGATGCTTTATACCTTTGGACTACATATTGTACAAATGCGATCCAACCCGCATGAAACAATTGTTCGTGTAAATATTTATTACATAAATAAAAGGGTGCGGTTTGTATAGAGCCTAGGCTCTAAACAATCAAACTAGAGCCTACCTTCAAATACTATCGAGAAATGTGGTTTCATTATTGGAAATA